CTTAAGTCCCAAGGGTGCAAATCTGAGTCATTTCTTGAGTCTTTGGGGTCCAAGTCGAGTCTCAGGGCTCTAGAGTTCTGGTTCAAGTCGAGTCTCGAGCGTATGGCGTCCAAGTCGGAGTCAGGTCTCTGGTGTGAAAGTCTAGACCCAAGTGTCTGGTGTTTGGATTGAGTCTTGAGCATCAGGGTTGTAAGTCAGAATCAAGTCTGGAGTCTCTGGGGCCTAAGTTGAGTCTCGAGTCTTCGGGGTCTGAATGGTGTCCCAAGTCTCTGGAGTCCAGGTCCAAGTTGATACTCCAGTGCCTGGCATTTGAATCTGAGTCAAACCTTTGGTGTGAAAGTCTTGATTCAACTGTCTGGCGTCCGAGTCAAGTCTTGAATCTCTAGTGTCCAGTTTAGGTCTTGAGTCTCTGGGGTCTGAGTTGAGTCTCAAGTCTTTAAGGTACAAGTCATGTCATGAGTTTTTCAAGTCAAGTCTTAAGTCTCTGAGGTGTGAGTCTGCGTTGAGTCACCAGGTCTGAGTTTGAGTCCTAGTGTGAGTCGTGAGTCTAGAATGTGAATCAGACTCGACTCAGGAGTTTCTGGGGTGCGAGTCTAAGTTGAGTCTTGAGTCTCTGAGGTTTGAATTGAGATTCTGGGATGTGATTCTGACTCGAGACTCAAATATCTGGGGTGTGAATCATATCTGTAGGGTGTGTGTCTGAGTCGTGTCTCTAGTCTCTGGGGTCCTTAGTTTAGGCTGGTTACTTGGTACACTTGCTGCCCAGTCAACAGTTTCAAGTTTAAACACAGCATTACAGCATGTAGCGCTTTGTTTTGTCCATGTAACTGAAAGGTTTTCTGGATCGAAATGCTCATCGTTTAATCAACATTGAACCTGATGCTCCTGCACTTATTTACCACAATAAGGTCATTTGATCAGTTTTGGACGTGTTCCTTTTTATTCTCATCATTTCATGAGTCATAAGTCTCAAACTGAGTAATTTAAGTCCAAGTGAGTAGCATGTCAGTCAATGTGCAAACTCAAGAGCTCAGATCTGAGTTACTGCCTCAAGTCCTTATCTGTGGTTTAAGGGTATTAATAGAAGGTCTGTCTGGATATGAAACACAGCGTAGCAGCATGTAAGGGTGGATGATAAAACATCAGATAATAAAAATATAACAGCAGATGACTTGAGCACATTTTAATGAATGTGAAACCAATGTTATTTTTCTTTTTTTCTTTTTTTTTTTTTGCTGGAATAAACAAGCAAAGAGCTGCCCACTTTTGTAAAGTTGGTGAATGTTAAAGAAAAAAAAAAAAGCCTTGGCTAATTTGCTGTTAATTGCTATTTTCTTTTCTCCATGATTTTGTCATCTAATTGAGGACAAATTAGGTTTCCAGTGGTTGCTAGGCTAACGGCAGTAAATTCTCATTGAAGTTTATTTGAGCGCCTCAGGACAGGATGAGAATTATAATTTCATATTTGTGAGCCCGAAGCACGGAGAGAATCCGGTGGCCTAGTGACGGATGCTGGCGTGTTTTCACTTTGGCATGCTATTCTAGTGTTTAGAATGGTAAGACTAGATTATTCCCAGTTGACAGCACATGCTCAGTTGTGGGACATTGCCCCATTCCAAATGAGCTGGAACCAATAGCAACCAACAACAGCTAATTAAGCTCCTACCTAATGAACGGCCAGGTGTGACTTATTAATTGTAGGTGTAATGATACGATAAATTAATAGAAGCTTCATTTGAACGCTACGTTTCAAAAAAAGGTGAGTAAACCGTAGACTTCAGTGGCCTTTATTGTTTCTATTGCCAGTATATTTCCAGTTGTCCATTTTTCAGGAGATATTTGTGAGGAGATAAATGTGAGATAATCCACTTGAGGGGGAACGTCATGGGTGGAATGAGTGAAAAAAACAGGAGTTTTCGAAAATGCAGTGTTAAAAAAAGATTGTTACTTTTGGATTGTGAAAAGCAGAAAACACAACCAAGACCGAGCTTTGGAGGAGTTGACAAATATCCCTGCAGAATTGAAGAAACTAAGAGCAAGGAAAATGAAAGCAATAAATGAAGAGTGGCCTCCTACATTTTGCACAGTGCTCTGTATAGAGTAGCCTATATACACTATACACACCAGCAACCTAAAAAGGAAGCGTTAAAATTTTAGTTCAACTCAGAGAACTGAGTGATTTCTTATTCAGTTTCTGAGCTCTGCTGCTAATAATGATGTTATTACCTGAACTGTGCTATACTTTTCAGAAGGTAGAGCAGATTTAGAGCCTTGCTGAGAGCAGATTACTGCTGTACAGTCTCCATACACCTGGCCGAGTGTTCACCTGAGCGTGCTTGGGTGCTGGAGCTGTAAATAATGCAAACACACGCAGGATATGGGAGCATATCAAATGAAAAACCTGCCATTACTGAGCAGTTTTGCCTGCAGCAAGAATGATTCGGCCCTTAGCCGTGCACTTCACACACTCTCACTCGCATTGTCTCTCACTGAGGCGCACACTCTGTCTAGGTGTGTAGAGGAGGATTAGCCGGGCAGTGTCATTAGTGAGCGTATAGCGATGACATGAGGTAAATGACACAAGTGTCTGACTCTGGAACAATCCAATCAAAGACCTACCGTCTGATTACAGCCACTGTTACAAATGGAGAGTAAACAGAGCCAAATGCCAATACAGCCAGATACATAGGACCATTTTACTGATGCTTATGGTGCCTCGATTGGCAATTGAACCTCCATTAGACACTGTACTTTGTTAATCAAGCATTATTCATTAGAGTATTGCAAAAGCATCCAGAACCTGTGCAAGAAATGCTCAGCATAGCTTTCAGAGTTGCATTCTTTTTGAAAACCATCATGGTTTTATTGATAATACCATTTATCTGGTCAAATTGAGCCAAGCTTTATTGTCTTTATTGTCTTTCATTATACACTGTGAAAAAAAGTTTAAAAAAATAAATAACTTGTTTGCCTTGATGTGAATTGGAAATCAGAGCACATTTTTCTTCTTAATGTGACATAATTCTGAGTGAAACAGGCGACAATAGTGGGTGGGACATGATTGAATTCTTCAGGATTTGACTGGATCGTGAAAAAGGGATAGGGATGCATCAACAGAGATACTGGTATTGAGTATTAATACCAACATCTTATACCTGATATAGCTGATACCAGATGATATAAGGCGAGTGCATGCTGCTGCACCAGTGAACAAACAAATTAAGCTGGCAGGGAATGATGTGACTCTGCATGTACAGTGAAGTGTGCTGACGCTGGGGCAGTTGGAGGCCAAGTCTCTTATTTATTTTGAGATGTTTCGGCTGTGTTTTAGTAGCTGTAGAGCATTTATGGTGTAAAATGAACTGTTGTGCTGTGTGTGTTTCAGCAGAGAGGAGTATGAATACTTAAAAATGCTTCTTTGTGAAAGTATGTAAAGAAGGTTAACCCCTCAAATGGCCAGGGCCCACCAGCAGGCCCAAAGTTTGATTACACACTTCTGTAACCTAAGAATATCTCAGCCACTGAAGTCCCTGTAGTTACTGAATAATAAGCCTTAGTATGTAATAAGCCTGAGATTTTAAGGGGTTAACTGCGTGATGCCTTGGCCCCTGAGTTGGCAAAGTAGTCGGGAAACCACATGCCCTAGACATCCGTGAACAAAAGTCCAAGGGAGCATAACTGGCCGTGCTGTCTCTGAGTGGGTAGGATGGTCCTACCTCTTCGCCAACCAAACTGGGTATTTGTTAGCTGATGTAATAAAATTGGCAGTTTGAATTGGCACCGGCTCCAGCACCCCACCGTGACCCAGAAGGATAAGTGGTTTAGATGATGGATGGATGGATGGATGAATTGGCACCGAATGTCCAACATCCAACAATACAGACAACGTGGAGTTGCTTTTGTGCAGTGATAGGTATTATGGTAGTGCACAGAAAACTACAATTCCTCATGCTGATCCATTTTACTGTGACCAATTTGGGCATACACAAACACACAGCTACTTTGGGGGGCAATTTAGATAAAGAAGAACAAACATAAAGTCTCTAAATGCACCAGGTGAGACGGTCACCTTGCTGTGTTTAACAGAACGATAGTCGATAATTATAATTATCAATAAAAGCAATAAAATAATTGTGATGTCCAATCAAATAAATTTTAAAGCAACATTTAAAATTTGACTGATATTTGTGGGCACACTCTTTAAAAAAAAAAAAAAAGGTTGCATTCAAGCTTTTTTGAATGGCTCCCTAAAAAAATGATTTTTGAGCACAAAGAAGGTTTAAAGCATCTGTATCAATTTAATGGTTCTAGCTAGAACCTTTATGTTATTCCAAAGTTAAAACTTTAAAAAGGTTCTTCACACTCACTCATTTAATGGTTCTGCCTTAAAAGCAGACATATACCTTTAACAGTTTTGTGTACACTATCATTCAAAAGCTTGGAATCACTGTTTTCAGTCGTATAAAACCAGTGTTGTTCATAATACATGTATAAAATGATTCTAATGTGATGCTGCCACACTACAACTTTACAGATTTCAGCTAAAAAGTAGGAAACTGTGAAAATGAAGATTGGTTAGATTGTGTAGAAACAGAAATAAGCTGTGTATCATCAAGAATGAAGTTCATATCCAAAAGATCAAATCTCAACTTCTCAAGAAATGACTATAAATAAATTGTAACATTATATAATTTAAACTCAAGAGCTTCTGACCTTTAAAACGGTCTAAAAATATTGAATAAAGAAAATCTTAAAAATCTTCTTGTGTTTAGCTTATAATATTACCATGGTTTAGGTAATTATTGGATAAAATAATTACAGCTTTAGGATTGGAGCATATGTTGTTAATTAGCGCTGTAGTGAGTGAGATGAGTTAAGGGGTCAGGGATGATGCATGGTTGAATCGGTTGACCGCACTGGCCGATGTCTGTATGGTTGCCCAGTATGCTGACCCTCCACTCCTCTCTCCTTTACCGCTCCATCCTTCTCTCACTCCGCAGGCATAAAGCGAATTGCTGTTGCCATAGTGACGCCCCAGTGCGGTACATAATGGGTCTTCTGACGCAGCTCAGGCTTCTGCTGTGGAAGAACTTCACTCTGCGCAGGAGACAGAAGGTACACGCGCATGTACACATGTCCAATCACCAAACACCAGTCACAGCCCCCAAAACAACAGCAGCAGCAGCAGCAGCACTGAGAGCTGAGGAGCCTTATAACGAGTGAGGTAGCTTCTCTGATCTGAAACACCTGCTGAGAGAGAGAGAGAGAGAGAGAAACAGAGAGAAAGCACAGAGAGAGACACACAGAGAGACAGAAAGAATGGAAGAAAGTGAGAGGAACGGAAAAAAACAAGCAGGAAAGCAGGAATGAAGGAGAATGAGAGAAAAAAAGACAATTAGAGAGGAGGAGAAAGTGAATTAGAAAAAAAAGAAAGAGAGCAATAGGAGAGGGAATTAAGAGAAGAGAGAGATGCAAAGAAAGAGACACTAATAGAGAGGGGAGGAAGAAAGAATCAGTAAAAGGAGAGAGTTAGATGGTTAAGAGGGAGGGAAAGAAAGAAAGAAAATGAGAGTGAGTCAAAGAAAAAGAGAGATGGTGAGAAAATAGGAGAGAGAGTGAAGAAGGGGAAAGAATGAAAGAAAAAAGCTAAAGACAGAAAGAAAGAGAATGACTGAAAGAAAGACACAGAGAGACAGAAAGAGAGTGACAGAGATGACAAGAAAGATAGCAAAAAGAGTAAGAGAAAGAAAGAAAAAGAATAGAGAAAGAGGAGATAGGTAGAGACAAATAGAGAAACAGAGAGAAAGGGAAAGAAAGAAGGAAAGAAAAAAGAGTCAGAGGGAGAGGATGACAGAGACAAAGAAACAGGATGACAGAAACAGATAAAGAAAGCGTATGAGAGAGAGAGACAGAAAGAACGAAAGAAAGTATCAGAGAGAGAGAGAGAAAGAAAGAAAAAGTGTATGAGAGAGAGAGAGAGAGAGAGAGAGAACAGATGTCTCCTGTCTCCGGAGGAGGAGGAATAGTATCACCTTCACAAACAGCCCCTTTAAGACTCCTCAGTGCTCTTCAGCATAATCATGTTGAACAAACTCCTACAGTGTTAAAGTTCAATCAAATGAGCTTAAATTAGCCTTGAATTAACACTCTTTCGCTTCATTCAGTCTATCAGCATGCACTGTTGAACCTCAGCACATCCTTCTTTACACTGCATGCAACTTGTTCATGCTCTTCTCACAGCTGCTACCAAACATACTGGTCCTGCTGTTTCTTCAGCTTCACAGCATGTAAAAATACATGTTCAGAAACAGCACACTACAGTGGAGGACCAGGGCCTCTTCTAAACTTGTGAGGGGGATACTGGAAGAGTTTGTGCACAAGAATGAAAAAAATATTAATATGTCAATAATTTAGGGGGATGAAAGTTGAATAAATGCTAGGGTAAAGAAAATAAAACAAAAAAAAACCATATATGGGATAAAGTGCTTCTATAAAATTGTCTATAAATAAAATAAAGTAAATAAATTCTACTCACTTACGGAGCTTCTCGGTGGATCAGAGGCTCTTAACACCTGCTTATTGTGTCTATAAAGAAACAGCCTGTTCCACATCACAATAACCAACACATGCACAGGAGTTTAGCTTCACCCATTCTGTCAGCCAGTACTTTTGGGGTCCAAAAGTACGAGACCACTAGTGAAAATGCGTTCATTAAAGGTTTCATTACAAATGATATCAGCATAGCACTTTGTGTAAAGAGTAGAATTTCAGAATTTCCTAGTATTTGGTGGTGTATCTCCTTTTAGTGTGCTCAAGCTGCAACTCCTTAAGTTTGTGCAAAAGCCTCTGATCAGTAGATGTAATCCACCTGAGAGTCATCTGAACACGAGCTTCAGAGGAAGAAAAGAAAAAAAAATCAGACCTTTTGTACGACGGCCTCAACACGGTGGTGAAATTTGCTTCTGTTTGATTTGTTGAAGAATTCTTCTTTATTATAAGAGTCATAACTTTCCTTTGTGTTAAAGTTTTCTAAAACTTTGTTGTTTATTTCCAAGTTTGAATGACACCACTTCGCTTTTCAACAATCACTTTTCACTCTGTATCGGTATTAAGGGCACAGCAACAAAACCAGTTTTAATCGAATTCTAAGACAGGCATGTCAAACTGGTGACCTTCCAGGCCAAAGTGCTGCAGAGATTAGCGTTTACCCTCATCTAACGCTCTGAATACAGTTCATCAAGGCTTTGCTAATGAACTGATGAGCTGAATCAGGTGTGTTTAAGTCAGTGTGCTGAAGTCTGCAGTGCTTTGGCCCGCAAGGACTGGATTCTGACACGTGTTCTAAGGGATGAAGAGAGGTTGGGAAAAGGTCACAAGTGGAGGAAAAACAAACAGATACAACAAGTATGTAGGATACAGGCCCATTAAAGCCCATTTGGTTAACCCTTTTGGGTCTGAGGGCATTTTCTTGATTTTTGCATATCTCTTTTTGCATATAACATGATAGCCATATCATGTTTCACAGTACTCCGTTATCTTCATCACTACTTTCCAAAACTGCTGCAGCAACTTCAGTGTCTGTAAGCCCTTTGCATGCAATTTTACATGTGTCATCAAAGTCGACTGAATGAAGAAGGAATTGTTTCCAACAACGTCCTTAGTGATTTCCTGAGTGTCTGTTGGTCACACGCTGAGAGGCAGATGACGTGTATCTCAAGCCCTCTTCACAGCCTCATAACTCTGGATGTGGGTCAAGTACGATCTCGTGATGAGATGGAATGGAAAGAGCGACTCCGATTCAGGAAATGTTTGAACCCTATTTCTACACTGTATCAGAACCACATTCAGAAACATTGAATTTGACATGCGGGTGAGTGGGTTGGTGGACCCAAAGGGTTTATACAGCCTTGTTTGTATTTGTTTCTCTGTGTCATTGAGTTTTATGTGTGATGAGAACAGAAGGTCTGAATGTGAACTCTGGAGATTCCCTGCTTGTTCAGGACAGGTCTAAAAGCTGGGCCTCTGCAGGGAGCAGGGCTTGTTTGTGTTCTTAATGTGCTCTTCAGAGCGAGCCGAGTAAGAGAAGGACAGCGCACAGACTGTGCGTTCTCTGGTGAAAGTTCAGCCTCGCTCTTTTCCCCATTGCTCTCAGAGCTGTGTTGTAAAGTGCATTTGCCAGAGGCACCATTTGGACGCATGTATCTTTAATGATTCGGGTTTGAGGCCATATTAAAGCCGATTAGCACTTTAGCGTGTTTAGCAGAGCAGATTCCCTGGAGCTCTGTCATTACTCCGCTCTCTCTCTCTCTCTCTGTCTGTGTGTTAGCCATCTTGTATTAGCTGCTCACCTGTCTCTGTCTCTCGCCTGGCTAATGTTAGCCTAATGATGTACAGTAGGCCGCAGCAGGTTGCGCCGTTAAAGCTTACTGGTGTTGGCAGCAGTCGTCAGGTGAGGTGTGTGAGTGTGGTGTCTGTATGTGTGATCACTGACTAAGCTGTTAGGTGAATATCTTGTCTCCATGTCTATGTCAGGATGATACTTGTTGTTGCATATAGACGGTCAGTTAAACTAGAAAAGTGCATTTCCTGAAGAAAATGCAGTAATTGGGCAGCTCAAGCAATTCCCTGTTATTACTAGGGTGTTACTAGGTGGTTGCTAATGTATCCCAGGTGGTTTCTGGGGTGTTACTAGGTGCTTGCTAAAATGTTTCAGGTGGTTACTAGTATGTGGCTAAGAAGTTGTTTCAGGTTGTTGCGAAAGAGTTGCTTGGTGGTTGCTATATCCTAGCTGGTTGCTAAAGCGGTTATGAAGCGGTTCATATGTTATTCTAGGTGGTACCAAGGATGTTAGTTGCTGTAATTTTGGAGGTGGGTGTTAGGACATTGTGGTAGTTTTGGTATCCTTTGTGGTTGCTAGAAGTTTCTGGGTGGTTGCTATGGTATTTCAGCTAGTTGCCAAGGTTTTGCTAAGTGGTTGCTATAGTATCTCTGGAGATTGCTAGTGTGCTTCTATATGGTTGCTGTGCTGTAATAGGGAGTTGATAGAATATTGCTAGGTGGTTGCATGGTGACATATGGTATACAAACTTTGGCACAACCATTCCACTTTTTTCCTGGGGTAATGTTTGCAACCTGTTAACCGCATGTCTAATCAAAAAGCTGTAAACAAGCACATCCAAACATGCCGGAGTTGGTATTTTGAAAAGTGAGAGGACAATAACAGAGAAATAAGGAGGAGGAGAAGAAGAAGAAAAAGAAGAAGAATATGACAACAATAGTATGAACTGAAGAAAAACCAACATAATAAAATAAATTGCAAATAAACAAAGAAGCTTCTGGTGTTCTCAGAACAAAAGACTGACCACCGCAGATCCCAGACCTCAACATCATTTAATATGTCTAGGAGAAGGGGAAAATGCAACCAACTTCAGTAATACATAATGGTAGTAATGAGATCAAACTAGCATTAAGTGTCTTATAGACATTGAGGTGGCTTCTGACTTTTAACTCACCTTATTCATATATATATATTTGATGTGCAGATTGACTTTATTCCACCTGTACTATGTGGAACATATGTGATCAGGTTAAATAACTGTACAAGAACCTGTCACCAGAGAAATGTCTGCTGTATGAAAGTATTGTATTTTCCAGTATTCTGCCCTACAGAAAAGAAACAGAAGAACAGTTCCAAAGATCTGTCTTTCCAGCAAAATCTGTTGAAGGTGTATAAGTGCTACAGCAGTTGAAATCAGTATCTTCTATATACCTACAACTTATCTGGTTGGACAGCAACAGAACCTGGAGGCTGTTTTTCTCAGTTTGACCACTCACAATAGCTACTGCTCGCTGCCTCTGTAGGGAATTGTTCATCACATGTAGGCTTTCATGGGATTTGTTGTGAATAGTAAGCCATAAGAAAACTTCTAAGACATTCTAGGCCAGACTGTAGTGTGGAGAAAGTAGACCATCATAGCAAATGAAAAGTATATCAGAGAACAGAATGTCCAGTGCATAAAACTGTTGTGCAGTACTCTTGGGGAAGTGTAAGCCGTTTCATGGGAATTGTAGGCCATCATGCACACCTAAAGATGGTTCTTCAAGAGTTCTTTAAT